AATTTTACATGGATTATACCTGAGAGGAGAAAGCAAATATTGTACAAAAATGAATAATGATGTAAAATATATATAATTTTTTTTAAGATTTCTTTATTTATGCACACAGAACTGGGGTACAGGCCAGAGTTGCAGGGGCAGTGAGAGGATTCACCAGAGACATAGTGGGGAGCAGAACAGTCTGAGGGGAGCAGCGGATGGGTCAGGAGAGTTCTGTCGCACCATGTAGGTGCGGGGATCTAACTCATGCTGAAGTGGCCTTAGCTTCTTACTGCTGGGCTTTACCCTGCTGTGCCACCAGGGAGGGCCCAAATAAATAAATTTTAAAAAAATGATCCTGCAGAGGATTACTTAAATTTAGCAGCTCCTGAATATTAAGCTCTGCACTGTGGTGCTACTGACTCTCGGGCTCTGAACAAAAGAGGTCTGAGCTGTTTTGTTTTGTTTCATCAGTGAGAATTGATGAATAGTGTGAGCACCTATCACCATTACTCCTGATTTTCTTAGATTCCTGTATAATGTTGTGCTCCCACAGGCACCTGTTGATTATAGAGCTTTAAAATAAAAACCCTAGAAGCATTAGGTTACTGAGAGAGGGAGGAAGGTCGGATGGGAGAACTGGATATGTAGCGGACTGGCATTAGTCAGACCCACCCATGCAGCTCTCTTCCTGGGCAGGGTGTACCCTAATTGAGTTGGTAAATACATTTTCTAGGAAGGGGGTGCTTTTGGGGAGTTTTTGTTTTGCAGCCCTATGAACATGGGTCTTCTGAGGTAGTTCTTTCTCTCAAGTCCACAGTGGAGCCGCCCCAGAGCTGGTAGATAGAGAAGTACCTGACTCAGGATTTGTCTTTGAAACCATCACACTTGTGCTGGCGTGGAGGTGTTAGGCCAGCTTTGGGAGTCCACTAGAGTTCATCAGTGATGTTTTCTACCACATACTTTTGTGTTTCATTGTCCTGGTGTCTGTGCCACTTCTGTTCATCCTGAGTTTCCCTACCCCCAGATTAATTTAATGTAAATTTTTAAAAAAGTTTTATTTTTATTTTTCAAAGATTTATTTATTTGTGCATACAGAATTGGGGTAGAGGCCAGAGGTGCAGGGATGGCAAAAGGATTCACCAGAGATAGAGTGGGGAGCAGAACAGGCAGATCAATGGCACACTGCTGAGGGGAGCAGCGGGCAGGTCAGGAGAGGTCTGCTGCACCATGTGGATCATCTTCGGGGCAGGCAGGGATCGAACTCATGCTGAAGTGGCTTTAGCTTCTTAGTGCTGTGCTTCAACCCGCTCCGCTGTGCCACCAGGGAGGTCCCTAAAGTTTTATTTATCCATACAGAACTGGGGTACAGGCCAGAGATCTGGGGAGGTGAGAGGATTCACCAGAGACATAGTGGGGAGCAGAACAGGCAGATCTACTGAAGTACACTGCTGAGGGGAGCAGCGGGTGGGTCAAGAGAGGTCTGCCACATCGTGTGCGTCATTTCCCTGATGGGGATGGAACTTGTGCTGCAGTGGCTGCGGATCATTTCATAGAGCTGCACTTTAACCCGTTGTGCCACCAGGGAGGGCCCTTGAACATAAATCTTAGCATATAGCTTCATTTCCAGATATTTCAATATGTATCTCTAAAAGGTTGGCTTCAAAAAAAAAAAAAAATCATCCTGATACCACTAGAGGCAATAATTCCTCAAGTCAGAGTCGACATTTCCCAGTATAGCTTATACTTTCGAAACTGCCTTTTCTCTTTAAATGGAGATACACTTGATTGGTATGTCTTTAAAGAATTTTAACCTGCAGGTTTCCCTTTCCTTTTTGTATTCCTCGGAATTTATTGTTGCTGAATAAGCTGGCTCATCTACATGTCACCCTTCTAAGAGAGTGGATTTTTCTGATTGTCTTCTGGGCACTTTTTTACACATTTCAGACATTTCAGTGGGAAGGGACAGGACTGCTGCAGCAGTGCTTCTGGACCTGCAGCTCCCAATCGACATTTAACTGTTCTCTCCTCGTGGCTAGTCAGTGACTGGTGGTTACTCTCTAGAGCCTTTAATCACTGGGGCTTGCAAAATGATACACTTATTCTATCACTCATTCACTAAAATACCTGGAAGCAAGAACTTCCTTTGACAATTGGTTAGTTCCCCTCTGATACAGATTATTTAGGAAATGCTTGATTCTTTCCCTTTATATACTAGTTTCCAAAAATGATATTTCCTTTCATCTTCCAAAAGGGACTGCTTTTATTTTTCTTATGAGTTCATAAAAATGTGCATTTTTTTTTTTCTGTTTCAGTCTGTAGATGTTACTTTTCTTTTTGCTCCTCAACATTGGCTTGAGGGAATTTATCAGTCTGGGGCCTGAATCCTTTAGACATGCCTGGCCATTTTATTATCTGTTAGCGTTTACCAAGTTATCCTCAAGCTTAGGGACTTAAAACATTATTCCACAGTTTTGTGGGTCTTTATTCTGGGGTGGAGTTTACCTGGTTTCTTTTGAAGCTATTCTAGTGTCTTGCCGTTTGGCTGAGGGAAGGGTACTTCAAAGCTACCCTATATGGCTGTGGTGGACCCCAGTTCTTGGTTACCTGGGTCTCTCTGTAGGATTCCCTACAGTGTGGCAGCTGGCTTTCCCCATTGCCAGTACTCTGAGACAGACTTTGAAGAGCCATTAAGTCAGAAGTCAGAATATTTTTGTAACTCAAATTTGGAAATGAGAGCCCTCACTTTGCGCTTCTTTTGTTTTGGTCATAGAAGTGGCCACATCCCAGTGCACGTCCAGTGGAGAGGCCCAAGCAGGGGTGTGTATACCTGGAGGCAGGAGCATTGGAGCCCTTTGAGGTGCCTTCTATAACCCAGTGGAGAGGTGGTTCAGATAGTTAGGTTGAGATTTTCTCCAATGAGTCTTGACTTACTTTATTGGAAAATGGTATTCAGAGAATATAAGATGGGTGTTAACATTCTAGACCTTTTCAGAGGACAGTGATAGCACATTTTTTTGTTTTTCAATTTCAGATAAAGTTTATGCTGCTATTTCTGCATCAGATCTAGGATCGTAGAGTTTTTACTTAACCTCATTTGTGTGTTTGTATCTTCTATTAAACAAACCTCTTGATTCTTAATGACAGTGATACAGTAATTCATGTATCATCCCACACTACACAAATAGAAATTTCAGAATAATGGCACTTACATTAGCACAAAAAATATGGTTAATGAAAATGCTTGAATGTGTAAAATTCCTTTTCTCCTTAGGCTGTATTCCACATTATACAGTTTGTTCCTCCATATAGTCATGATTGAAATAATTTTTCACTGTGCATTATAACAGCTACCAAACTGGATCTTAGCCTTGCTGCCCAGAAAGCCAAACTCTGGGCCATGAAAATACCTTTACATAGAGGAATATACTGTAGGTGATCACCAAGAGAATTACCAGAATCAGTACCCTAAAAACCAGCTCCCCAGATAGTGGGGATACTTTATATTAAAATGGTAGGAAAGTAGGGTAGGGGTTGTAGGATGTAAAGGAATTGGGGGTAACTTTGAATTCCAGATATGAGGAGGGGCCAGGGCAATCTAGGTGTCCTGAGTCAAGTTGTCTGGCTCTTCTGGGCAGGGAATTTCTCCTCCAAGTCATCATCTAGCAGCAATCAGCAGGTGCTCTTGGTGCTGCACAGAGAGCCTCAGAGGAGCATGAGAATTTTTGTTAGGGATATGGCACTATCAACTTTACAAGTTTCTAAGCTTGACTTGTAGAGAAATACATTCATTGCAAGCCCAAGATTAATCACAAGGAGTGGGAGGGGAAGGGACAGTAGAAGGTGGTAGAGTATGGTTCCACTTGGTCCTAATTTTTGGTCTAGGGGAATTTTTGCTATAAAATGGAGGGCATCTGGCTAAAGCACACAATCTTCTGTGTAAAACTATTGTTATATTTTAGCTAATTTTAAAACTAGTTTTATGTGAATTATTTTTTATCATTCTAAAGGTGATCTACAGTTCAATGTGTTTTTATAGAAATCTAACTTCTGTCCCTGTTCTCTCCATTTTCTTCTTTCTCCATAGGTAACATTTGGGAAAATGCATGTTATTCTTTTAGTCTTTAGATATGGTGGTGGCATAATGTCCACTTTTCTCTTCCTGCCAGTAGGCTTGACTACCACCCCATAGCAGTGCAGAGGCTCGGGCTTAGTCCTTGTTGGGTGGCACCGTGAGGGTGTGTGGCCTGGCATTCTAGACAGCTGGGCTTGCTGGGAGTTCTCGCGATTCCTGTCCTGCATTGTTACTAGGAAGTGCAGTTCTGAATAGACATAAAAAGAAGGTGGGAGGAGGGGGCAGCACCTTGGCTGCTTTTAGAACCAGCACCTGGTTGTGCCCTCCCCAGTTTTCTTCCTAGCTCCCTACCTGCGTGGAGAGAAAGTGTCTTTCATTTAGTAATGAGGTAAGTGCCACTGCTGATGTCAGGAGTAGCCCTTAAAAGTTGCAGTCATTTCAGCCCTCCCTGGTGGCACAGCAGGTTAAAGCACCACACTAAGAAGCTAAAGCCACTTCCGCCTGCCCTGGAGGTGACCACATGGCCTGGCAGACCTCTCCTGACCCGCCCACTGCTCCCCTCAGCAGTGTACTTCGTCGATCTGCCTGTTCTGTTCCCCACTCTGTCTCTGGTGAATTCTCTCACCGCCCCTGAGCCTCTGGCCTATACCCCAGTTTTGTATGCACAAATAAATAAATTTAAAAAAAAAAAAAGTTGCATTCATTTCATTTACATTCTTTTTGGTGTAGAGTTAGACATTTTTACAGGTTTCAACAACACATTACTTGTTAGACTTCGATGTTGGCACCTGCTTTGTGTATCTTCATGGTCGTATTAATAAAGGTCTGGGAGGAGTGATTATCAAAGATTGTGCTCAGGTGCCAACCCTCATATATAAACAGTGAATAAAACAGTAAATAGAAACCTGTTTCTCACCTAACCAATACTGAATTATTTGTGTTACAGGGAAAAGGACTTGGAAGCCAAATTCATTATTCAAATGGAGAAAAGCAAAACAACAATCACAAACTTAAAGGCAAGTAGCAACCTGGCCTTGCTCCACTTCCATGAGCAGCCATGTTTATTTCCCTTTCTAAGTGGTTGTAGATAAATAAAACTTGTCTGCTGTGTTTCTACCTCTCCTTTCTCAGTTCAGTTAGACATGTCCCCTTGCCTTAGGCATGGCTTCAGTCATGGAGCAAAAGGGTTGGGGCTTACTTCCTCTCCCCTCTCTAGTTTTATTTGAGCCTGAAGTCTGGTCTGAGATTTATCTGTGGGCCTGAGTTCATTGGTTTAGCTCTGATCCAGTGGTTCTGTATCCTGTTTTGGTTCTTTCTCCAGACAATCCACTGTAGCCTATGCATCATGAAATAAGCCTCTGCCCTGTATTTATTTTTATTGCTCATTAAGATAATCATGATTTGTAAAATTTGCAAGAGGAATTAATATCATTCAAAATTCAGAGGAGGAAAGATAATAAAACCTGAACTTTTTTCCTGTGGGGGTGGGGCAATCCATTTTTTTTTTTTAAAAGGCAATTCCTGTTTGTACATAAAATATCCTGCTTGTTTCTTTCACCTGTGAATTTGTTAAGGTCACTGTATGCTTTCTTCAATTAGGGGGAAGCAAGGGTGTTCAGGTAATAATGAAATCAATGTGCTGTATTGTCTCAACCCCATTCTTCAGTATTTGTCACTTGCTTACAGTTTTGGGTTTCTGAGGCCTGCTGCTGCATGGCCAAATGCAGATTGACCATGTGGTTGGATTTCTGTTAATTTGTGGCTCAAAGGAATGGGCATTTTGAAATCCAATTTCAAAGTAGTGCAACTTGATCTTTAGTGATAGGAGCTGGGGAATGCTCTCATCTTCCACACGGGTCATGCTCTGCATGAGTTGATAGGCCTCCTTCTCCAGCCCTGTGCGGAGCACCTCCGGCACTCTCTAATGCAAGGCCTGGCTTTCTCCACTGGCCACATCTTACACCTCCCTGCCTGGCCTGTATTTGGCTCCGCTCTTCCTTCCTCCCATACCTCTTCATGTTTTTGCCACTTATCAAGGGTCCATTCTCTACTGTTTCCCTGCTCCCCTGTGCCGCCCCCCCTCCCCCAATGTACTTTTGTATGTTCACAGTGCCTTGGTAAGAGTACCGTTGCTCTCTAGTTGCATTTACTGAGAGAGGAAAAGACCTCTGGCAGTGGGTGGAGCTCCTTTTGTGTATTTTGGGGACTGTTTTCCTTGATCACACTGTTGCTTCAGGACTTCTAGAAGTGTTTCCTCATCTGATGTAATTAGAACAGATGCTCAGACTTTGAACATTTTAATAAAAACTTTAAACGTAGTTCTATTTAGTATCTGAATATCTGATGATGAAAAACACCCTACTTGCTTTTATTAAATATGTATCCAAGGAACTGTGGGAGGTTTACATGGCTTTTAGATCAATTTGAGTATATAAAAAGATATGTAAACACCTGCAGTAAACTCGTATTACCTGGTAGAGTCTAGATTCTCCTAACTATGAGAAATTTCTGAATGGAGTGCCCAGAGGTGCTCGTTGAAGAGAACCATCTACTCTGCAGTTTTCAGTGGGGCCACAACATCATACAACTGTAGGGGTCTCCACAAAATCACATTGTAGGCTTTTCCCCCACTACCCACCACTCCCCCCACATTGTATAATTTGCAACTCTGGTGGTTTTGGAGGGAACAATAATCTGAAAAAAAAAAAAAAGCCTCTGGAATAATGGTTCATTCAGAGTAATACTGATTAAAAGTCCAGAAAAGTAGCCTTGGTCATTTTGCTCTGAAAAGTTAAGGTTTTATTTATTTTTGGAGATTAGGAGGAATAAAATGCTTTGTAATTGGGGCAAAAATATGAAAAATGTAGGTTTTTTTTTTAACCTGCATTGGATTTCTTGTCAACCAACTTGTACTCTTTGCATCTTTACTGTTATTCTCTTATTATAATATCATAATCATCTCTCTCTCTCTCTAGATACCAGAAGGAGGAACTGGGGACTCAGGAAGAGAACGAACCAAGACCTTCACCTATGATTTTTCTTTTTATTCTGCTGATGCAAAAAGTCCAGATTATGTTTCGCAAGAAATGGTATGATATTTTAAAAATATTTATTCTTGTTTGTTTTCATATTAGGAAAAATAATGCATGCTGTAAAACTCTTTAAAACATCTTGCTAATTTTTTTCCTGATTGTAATTGATATCAAATTGGCCTTTGCTGACTTGGGTTTTGGTTATTACCTAGCACTGCTTATCTTCTGCTTGACACTTCTGAGCATAATGATAATAAAGTTTGTTTCAAAACTTGGACATGACCACCCTTTTGAAGAATCTTTGCAAATATGACATTTTTGGGGGTGCATTTATATGCTATTAATCCCAACATATAAGCTCCTTGGTCCTGGTACAGTGCACAGTTTTAGGAGGCAGAGTTCAAATTAAAGTCAGCTTTCTCACAACTGAGTCAGCATCTGGGAAAAATGAAATAGAAAGAGAGACAACAACAATAGAAATGGAGCCATAACAAGAGCTGAGGTGCCTGGAAGAAGGGCCAGGAGGGGAAAGATGAACAGATGTTGTTTGTTTGAGTTTGCATCAGTGTCAGAAGCTCCATTTAGTGCTCATGCATGGCATCTCATTCAGTCTTCACAGGAACCAGATGAGGTTAACTTCAGCTCCGTTTTTCTTGGTCATAGAGACTCAATGGCTTAATTAATTTGCCCATGCACAGAGAGATTGGAGTGGGAGGTATACTACTGTAAGGGTTCGCAGGTATTAGAGCAAAGCAGTGGGTTTCTAAATGTCTGATAGGGTAGCTCTGTTGATCAGATAGATGAAAGAGGGAGTGAGTGAAGAGGACTTCGGAGCTGTAGTAACTGTACTCATCAGTGTTGGTAGATCAGAGTCTGATGAGGAATGGAATGTTACAATTTTTGGAATTTAGATTTTGGGTTTAATATAGACTTCCTAAATACCTTTAGCCCCACAAAACACTTCAACCACAATTTAAGGCAATGGACATTTTAGGATTAGGGAGAAAATAGCTTCCTGGGAAAGGTTCCTTAAAAGCAAAATTTCCTCATTTCTACTCATCATGGCACTCAAGGTTCTAACCATTGTATACAGGCAGTAACCAGTGCAGAGGGTTGCAAGTTGGCAGCCTTCAAAAGGTCTTTAGCATGAGTGAAGAGCCATGCTATATTGGTGAGCAGCTGTATTTCTCCTCTATTTAACCTGAACTTGAGGCCATTTAGGGACAGGGAAGTAGTGGGCGTGTGACAGCAGGACCTGGCACACTGGCGCTGCTCTGTGAGCCTTTGCGACTGAGAAAACTCCTTTACAGATGGTGGTTAATCTGTGGGAACAGATGACATTTCCTGGGTTTTATTGTTCAAGATTAGGAAAGGCATGACAAGTTTAGCTCTTTTGGACATTAAAAATAAATGCTCAGGTTTTATAAATAGTATCAGATTGCAAAAAGCTTTGAACTGATAAGGATAATTTTCATTCTCCGGGTGTCATGCAGTGTCTCTTCACTGGTGTTTTGTGTTCTGTGACTTTATAGAAAATATAAAATTGTTTTATTGAATTATAAAACTAAAAAAAAGCATTAAGATAGGTTAGTAAATATTGCACTCTAGTAGTACTTTATGCTAATAGAGCCAAAATAGATACAGAAAATACTTATTTTTTAAACACTGTTCTATGGGGTAGGTCATGTTCCCTCAGCCCTAATTATAATACCTGTTGTTTCTAAAGAGGGCTTCTATTTCTAATATTGATTAGTACCTATTGTGCTGCCATTCCTGGTATAGTAGTTGAGCTGACAGGTTGTATCCCTGCCATAAAGAATGGCGGATGCAAATTTAGTAAGATGTTGGTTATTGTTCTCTCTTTTTTCAATCTTTTGAATGTAAAGACCTATTGAGAAAATTACTGAACCTGAGCTAATGCTTTTATACTATAGTTTGTTTTTCTTAATTTTCTTTTATAATAGTTTATTTTTACATCATTTTGTACTTTTTTTTTTTTTTTTCATCTCAATTG